AGCATATTCTTATATATTTTTGGAGAAAACAACAAAGATTTTGATTTTTTAGCATTTAATTTCAAACCATGCCCTTTCACATATTCGCTTATTTTATGCAAATCTTGATTTATGCGGACATTAGCTATTTCATATTCGGAAGGATTAAAATGAAAATATAATTGAGTGTCGTCTGCAAATAACTGTTTTTTGCAAAATTGTAAATATTTAGTCATATCAAACGTGTATAATAGGAAGAGAAGGGGTCCTAGCACAGAGCCCTGTGGGACGCCAGAGCAAATAGATTTTAATTTGGAACATTTACCACCAATAACGACTCTCTGTTTTCGGTCTGTGTCTTTCACATTCAAAAGTAATGTGTGCCGAGTCCGTCGGGCAGGAACCAATAGTTGAACTCTCTCAAGCAGTGCCCCGCACTTGATATCACCACCTATTAATTTAGCCAGGAATAGGAGTAAAGCCTGTTTTCTTCTGCAGTCCAGGGTCTGCATTCCGCAAAGCATTAATCTTAGTTGATAGCATGTGTTATGGCTATGAAATCATCAGTGTTTAAAGAGCAGGTATTTTACGAACTTTCGTTGCACCCTTTCAATTCTAGTGATATGACAGGTGTAAGTAGGTTGCCAAATAACAAAACAGTATTCCAGGACTTCTCCCGAGGCCATTGTAAAGTGTCATGATTGCTTTTGTGTCATTCATGTACCTAGTATGTCTCTTGATGAAACCAAGCATTCTGAGGGCTTTGCATAATATGGAATCTATATGGTTGTTAAAAGATATTGTGGTATCAAAAATAATGCCCAAATCAATAACTGTCGAGGATCTATCTAGGTAGATCCTCTCAATACTGTAACAGTTAAAAGTAGAATTGTGGGATCTTGTAAAATACATGGTTGTGCACTTAGAAATATTTATAGAAAGAGCTTTATTTTTACACCAGGTAGCAAACCTGTTTAGGTCAGATTGTAATGCGGAGTTATTACCAATGTTTCTACTAAAAAACTTTATATCATCCGCGAAAAAAAGGCATTGGCTATTAAGAAAGTAGGACGTAACAACATTAAAGAATAAGGAAAACAATAGGGGACCTATATGTGAACCTTGAGGAACACCGGATAGGACTGAAACGTCACATGATACGGAATTATGCACTATGACATGTTGACACCGATTACTCAAATAACATTTAATCCAGTAAAAATAAGAACCAGAAGTACCGATTTCAGAGAGTTTCTTGAGTAGCAATTCATGACAGACACTGTTAAAAGCTTTTGACAGATTGGTATAGATGGTGTCAATCTGGTAACCATTTTCAATTGATGAAATTAAGAAGTCTTGATAGATTTCTAGATTAGTTGATGTCGAGCGACCTTGATAGAAGCCATATTGTTGAGGTGAGATATAGTTTTTATACATTTAAAACATTTCATCTGTTAGTATGGATTCAAATAGTTTTGGAATTATCGATATAATAGAAATACCTCTATAATTCTTTATCACCTTTCTTGTAAACTGGCATAAGGTGGGAAAACTTCCAAGCAGATGCAAATATTCCACTATCAAATGATTTTTGGAAAATTTGGCTAAGTGGGATTGACAAGGAGTCACAGTACCCCTTCAAGAACGACGGTGGTACCCCATCAGGGCTCGCAATTTTACTAGTCAAGACTTTTTATTTTAGAAGAGTGAACGTGTGTATGGCTAAAGTGGAATAAAATGGAACAGCGAAAAGATCAATTTTTCGGTTTAAGTCGTCTTTTGAATAGCACGTTTGGAAATAAATTGTTTAGACCAGTGAAGTTGGCTTTATGGAACTGATGTACATTAACTGGTTTATTATCTCTAAGTAAGCGAGGTTCTTTATTCATGAAGTTGACCAAAAGTGGGGGATGTAGAGGTTCAAATTTCACCATTGAAAAATCGCTAGATTTACATTTAATTGATTCAAACTCGTCCACAAATATAAGATCCAGTATCCGTTGGAGCGAATTGAAAACATAGTTTATTTGAGTTCAATCAAAGCCTCGGCGGTAGCAGGTTGAATTCTAGTTGGAACAAAAAAATAAGTATCCTAAATTTCCCATTGGACATAAGGAAGATTGAAGTCACCATATATTATGAATTCATGATTTTTAATTTTGCTTTTTAGAGATTCGCATAAATCGCAAAAAGATAAATAGCTTTCTAATGACGAGTTTGGAGAAATATACACACATCCAATTACCGTGTCGATATTGTTTATTTTATCCATTACCCAAATATCATCATATTGCGTAGATGTTGGAGTATCGTCAGTTGAAACATGGGGTAAAGTTGCTATTAAATTTCCACCTCCTAGGCTGCAATTGAGGAAGGCATAATTTCTGTCCTTCCTGAATACAACATATCTATCCTACAAAAATTCAGAACTATGAAAGTCTTCTTTACTCAAAAGAATGTCATAGTAACAAGAATATATACTATTCAAAATATCAGCTGATTTCGTTTGTAGTCCATTAACATTTTGATAGTATATATTAGTTTGGTCACCACTGAATTGAGGTTGTGAATTCTTTAATACAATGGGGTTTTGGTATGTTGGATAGTCATGGTTTAAGATATTTTCAATGGATTGAAAAAAAATTGTTTTATTTCTCGCTTCTGGAAACTGGACATTAGACCATCATATGAAAAAATTTTTGAAGGTATAAAATGACAGAATTCAAAATTACGAAGCATAGATTCAATTTTAGGGTCAAATTGTTGGATGAATCTGTTAAGAATATTGCGATTATATCGTTGTGGAGGCCCGCAAATAAACAAATTGGTTCTGCAACTTTCCTGGAGTAAGGATTCAAGTGACTCTGTCAGTAGCTATGGGTTTACCTTTCCCAGCATTGTCATCGCCGGTGAATAGGATAATGATGTCTTGGTTATTAAAATTTGAAATGTACCTAAGGCACATTTTTATACGGTTCTCAAATGAAGATTTTGCTGACCATTGACAGTTAATATCGTAGTGGCTGTTAGTAATGTGTTTAACTACTTAAATGAGACCTCATGCATTTTCATCACCCAAGATTAAAAGTTGGGGTTTTTGAGCTGATGAGGAAGGTTTATCTCGAAGTAAAGATTGCAGTGTAGCCCCAGTTGAGTTATTATATTTTTGAATATTATCCACCAGACTTTTTCAGTGCTTTTAGTTCTTGAAACAGTGATGAATTTTCTTGCTTAAGAACAGAAATTAAGTTTTTCATGTCCTTATGCATTTCAGTTAGGTCATTTACCTTAGCGTCTAACTCAGTATTCAAATCATTACCTAATTTAACTCAAGTCTCTAAGTCCTTGTTTAGTATCTGAAGAGATTGCAATTATTTTTCTAATTTATCAATAGATTGTCATTGCTCTTTTTATTTAGTATTTTTTTTTTAATTTGGTGTCATCTGCATCGTCTACTAAGGCCATTAGCATCGTGTTCTATGTAGGCTTTGTTACTATTTCCCAGCGCCACTTTAGAAACAGCACTGTTAATTAGAACCCAACAGTGAATGGTCGAGTGGGGAATCCTACCAAGGCATCAGAATTATTTTGAAATAATTAAATTAAATAAAAAAATCCCGGCCAACGGTGGGATTCGAACCTGGGACCCTTGGATCCACAGGCCGAGACTCTACCACTGAGCCACCCACCCCTTAGTATTATTAATATTAAAACTGTCCTCCACTTTAGAAACGTCATTAATAAACTCTTGTGGCCTCTCTTCAGCCGTTTAATATAATTTTCTTTCTCTTCAATTTTATTTTGTAGATTTTGACGTTGACATTTTTTTGAACAATAAATTCTGTAACCATCTAATTTTAAAATTTCTTTAGACCGATCTAAACAACTAGGGTGGAAAATACCAGCACATGACATACAACAGTAATTCAAAAATTCCTTATTTTTACAGCATTTAAAGGACCTGTCCATTATATCATCAAGTGAAAATACAAGTACCTAAATAATTAAAAAAAAAATATTGTTAACTTGGGAACACAATTTTTATCAGGACGACTTTAAAAATACAAACAAGAAGGACCACAGTATTGGAACATGGGGTGAAAAACAGAGGACTGGGTAATTTTTTTTGTTTGATTTCAGACATAAAATTAAACAAATGAATCGCTGCTCATAATATTAAATAACTGCTGTGTGGTAGAGTAGCCACAGCTAGATTTAACTAAAATATCAATATTCCAGCAAAGCAAAAAACAAACAAAAAACTAAGATAAGATAACTATATATTTCTATATTTACTGTTAAATTAATTTAGTTTTAGCTTTTTCATAATGGATAATTGTGATTGATGCATTATTTTTAACCCTTTCACTGGATATCAAAAACACTATTATAACTTGAAATTTCTAATTTAACGATAAGCACAGATAAAATTCACTATTCACAACATTCATGCTTCATCCCAAGGGCGTTAGTAGAATTTACTAGAAAGAAGACACATAGAAATTCATTGGACAGATAGTGAAAGTAAAAGAAGAATGAGATTTTTAAGAAAATCAGAAGGCGACAGCAGCTATTGGACCTTTGTGTGGCGTCTTCAAAAAGATGAAAGTGTACTGAGATGCAGAAGAGGAAGAGCTGAATTTTAATGTTTCATTTGATAAATATAACATTACCTAGATTCATACTCACTCCTTTCAGAAGTTTTTTGTTTTTTAATTACCTAAATCTGAGTAAAAATTTTATTTACTTTTTTCTTTATTTAGGATAAAGCAAATGTGTGTTGTAATAATATTCTCTTAATAGACTAAAATAATAGGTGATAAATATCTCAAATCTAAAAATTTTATTTCAAATATGTCATTGTAAGAAATATTCTCTCTAGCCCCAGCTTACTCAACAAAGCTATAAGTTTATTTTTCATTGGTAGGCATTGCAGTATTTCAATACTAGAGCCAAACTTTTAAAATTATGTCTCTCTTACCCTACCTTATATACATAATTAAGGAAAATAAAATGCTTACAAATCTAGAGCTGAAATAGATGGTGGGTCTGCAATAAATTCAAAATCTTGTGGTGGATCTTTAGGCACAAAAGGCTGTTCTACTTGTTTCAATATTTCTTGTTGCTTCTGTTGTGCTGAAGCACTTACAGAAAGCTTAGAAACTGCTAGACTTAAACCAGGAGATGGCTCTTGACCTAAAAACGAACATAATATACAGCAAATATAATAATTAAAATGGCATCACAATCTTGTATACAACAAACTTGTACAATTACCTTTTCCTTCCCTAAAATCCTTAACTTTGTGCTGATAGTATGCATGGTAAGGATCTCCACCATTCAAGAAATTAAACTTAGGATTTCCAAGTTCATTTTGTCTGATACGAGCTTCAAATTCTGGTCCATTTCTAGCAACGAAGCTGGCTGTTTTATCAACGATATCTTTACTTTTTTAGGAAAAGTACACTATATTCTTACGACAAATAACTAACATAATAAAGTATTATGATAAATATTAAAAATTGATGTAACAAAAAGGATACTTCTAACCTCTGGTGGTGGATAAATTATACCCACAACTGGATTTATTGGGCCAGGTTCTTCATTGTTTGTGTTGGATGTTACCTCCAAAGGAGGCATTTTGGTTTTAAGGTGATATTATTAAGTAAAATTACAAATGAACAATCGTTAAAATATCTCAAAACACCGTATTACCACAGAACACTTACTCTTAGAACGGTAACTCCCATGTTAAAAAAGGATGATAGAGTTTTTAGCGGCACCTGGTGGACGTGGTTGATTTTTTTTCAATTAAGTCCTTGTCTGGTAAGAGGCCATATGAAAGAAGAGAAAATAATAAAAAGAAGAAGAGAAGAAAAGCGCGGGGCTATTCAAATTTGACAGTAAAAATTATCCGCATTAAAAACTGTTAGCCAAATTAAGATTTGTTCACACAAATTGCATTTTTGCTTTATTATAGCGAATATCGCTATAATAAAGCAAAAATGCAGTTTTTGTGAACAAATCTTAATTTGGCTAACAGTTTTTAGATAAAAAAAACAAGAATATTCAAAAAATAAATTTATTAAAGAATATATATAATACAAATCCAATATTTAAAAAATGTAATGTATATGAAAATTGTATTATGTATGAAGTAGCTGGATGGCTGCTACATATTCCAGGATACAACACTGTCCATCATTTTGTGAAGAACTTTAGCTGTGAAAAAAGAAAGACAGTATAAGTACAATCTCATTAAAATAAATGTATTAATAAAAAATTATAAGTCCGAGGAATACTTTATTTTTTAATAAGTCCAACATCTACGATACAGCTTTGCAACCCCAAACGTCATGAAACACAAATTTCACAGTATATGCAGCGTTTAAGAATCCACATCGGATGCAACTGAGATGTAGTAAATCTTTGATCACGTGATTCAATTTACGTAAATGTAATGGGACAGATGTGTCCGATTTAAAATAAACTATTTGAGGCGCTGTTCTCCACATCTCGGCAAATGGACTAAAATAATAATTTATAATACTCTTAATATTACCTTATTTTAATTATTGTGCCACTATACTGTATTTGCTCAACCAGAATGAGTTGCAATGATTGCAAAAGTTGCAGAATAGAGGTCTGAGGATAATACTGAGCTGTTCAAGATTGGAACCAATCAATTCCATGTTGAATGTGCTTCAGTGGTTGACTGTTAAAAAATATTTGCTATTCTATTCCCTGCTTTTTATATTTAAAATTAAATCAGGAATCTCCAGAGTATATTTACAAAATATTTTAAGTTATAATCAGGATGTTCATGAACCTAAACAGGTAACAAGAAAAATGTACACAAAATTCAGTGTTTTTTAAAGGTGTACAGGCTTTTAATAATTTGCCTGAGGATATTAAATGTTCTTCAAATGTGGCAATATTTAAAATAAAACTGCATGAATACCTGTTCACCTATTGACGTTTTTTTTTCTCTTTCTTGTTCTTTTATTGTTTTGTATAGTTGACATGTAAGTGTACTGTATCTTATGTATTTTTTATTGCATTTTAAATGTATGTTGATTCTATATTTAGGTATTTTTTATATTTTAAACGTGAAGATGTATTGACATGTAAAAAATAGTTTTTTTGACTAAATAAACGTTTTATATATAGGTATGTGGATAAAAAAACGCTCGAGATGTAAAAAATGCATCTGATGTGGATTCTCAAACACAGCAATAAGTATAAAATAAATAAGTACTAACTTTCCTTCTCGAAAAGAAGTCCAACATATATTATTAGTCTGCTTCTTCTTCTACGATACAGCTTTGCAACCCCAAATGTCATGAAACAGAAAATACACAGTATAAGTATAAAATAAATGAGTAGATTACTAACTTTCCTTCTCGAAAAGAAGTCCAACATATATTATTAGTCTGCTTCTGCTTCTTCTTCGAACCTTTACTTGAAGTAGAAGGTGTTTGATCAACATATTCAATTTCTACGTTATTTGAGGAAAGTCCATCCGCTACTCTTCCAGGAACTGCTGGTAGGAATAGCGTTGGAAATGCTTCAGGTGTTAGACCTCGACGAGAGCCAACTACTTTATACTTCTCTTCAAAATGTTTATGACATACTACAAAGGTGGAATAAATTTGTAGTTTTGTTTTATTATTAAATCTTGGACAACGAACAGCAAGTGCCCAAATTTCAAATAAATCGGGTTCATTCCTAGGGTGGGGCAGGCGATGCATCTTGTTGTTCACATCAAGGCAATTCGGTACACAACATTTTCTATAATTACGCATCTTTATGGAAAAGCACGAAATAACAGCGGAAAAAGCACAAGATAACAGTTCAAAACGCACAAATTTATAATGGAAAAACAAGCTCACTAACAGTGGTCAACTAAATCAATTAAGCAAATTGGAAATGAAAACACAACTGAACACAACCAAGTCACCAATATAAATAAACACGTTTGGTTTAAGCCAAGACGCCATGACACCCCCCCAAAATCAATATTCACCTGTCATTTACACTCCCACCACCTACCCCACCACCCGACTGCAGCGCCACGCGGACGTGGTTGATTGATCCTTGACCTGCGCATACCAGTTTCCCACCCCTGCGTATTACAAACGAAAGCTTCTTCTTCTTCTTTTCATTTTTTGTAGGCCTCGGCTGCCAGGGCTATTCGGCCTAAAACGAAAGCTTGAAAGATGACATATAACAATATATTGCTGCGTTTGAGAATCCACATCGGATGCATCTGAGATGTAAAAAATCTTTGATCACGTGATTCAGTATACGTAAATGTAATGGGACAGATGTGTCCGATGTGGATAAAAAAACGCTCGAGATGTAAAAAATGCATCCGATGTGAATTCTCAAACGCAGCAAATAGTCGTTTTCCTTTGACGTATGGTTCTGGTTATGGTTGACGTTAAATTGACAGTATTTTTGACAGCGGTTCAGATTTTGGTTCATATGGATGACGTCATAACAAAAGCCAATGGAATGAATGGGTTATCGGTTCGATCAGTCATATGTCATTTTGGTGTAAATTTAAATACCACGTGTGTCTCATTTTTAAAGTTAGTTCTTAATTTTATTTTCTTTTAATTTTTTTGTGTAGTTAGTTATTTGCCAAAGAAAACCTAAAGCTTTATGATATAGAAGAAAAAATATTAACTAACTAAGGACCGATTCCACCATTGTGTTAAACGAAGTTTAAAATGACATTTTTACATTAACAATGTCAATTTAATCTCCGTTTAACACAACGGTGGAATCGGCCCTAAGGACCGATTCCACCGTTGGGTTAAACGAAGTTTAAAATTAAATTTTTACATTAACAATGTCATTATTAATAGAGAGTTTTAGCAAATGTACGTAAGATTTCCGCTAACGTTACGTTAAACTTAGATTGTGACCTTTTTCATAAACATTGAACGGAGTAGATTACAGTCTATCCCTAAGGTAACGTTAGCGGATGGTTAGCGGCTGTTTGCTAAAACTCCCTAATCTCCGTTTAAAACAACGGTGGAATCATTTCAGTCCCAGACTTAGGGGCCTATTCAGTAACTCTGAACGACGTCGTTAATAGACGATATTCGTTCACAGACGACTTTTCTTATTCAGTAGACAACGATTGTCGTTGAAAATAGACAAATATGGTTGTATAATTGTCGTTCATCAACGATAGCCACACAGAGCTGTCGTTAATAATATGAAGTGTCGTTATAGTAATTTTTCCATTCCCTCTCATTTTTCATTGTGAACCAGGATGTGTTCTAAATAATAAAAGCACTTTTTTACAAATTTTACAACTAAATTGCCATCTAATACCTAATACAGCAAGTACAATTTGTAAGGAATTTTTTTCTAATTTATTTAATTATTTTAAAAATAAATCGGATTCAAAGTTAGGATTGCCCATTCAACCATTTACTATTGGATTCTTATTAACAGTGCTGTTCCTAAAGTACCACTGCGAAACAGTAACAAAACCTATATTACGGAAGTACCTATAATACTTCTCCGTAACCTACACAAATTTGGTCTGTCTTTCAAATCCAATAAACAGAACTTACGTGAGTCGGACTTGGGTAAATCGTCCTTGAACTAAAATCGAAGTTCGGTTACAACGTCTGTATAGTTCGAGGTTGTTCCAGTGTTACACTTGAATTTAGAGATGGCTCTTAGCAAATCTGTAACTGTTATGTTCATTTACGGATTTGGTACTACCCATCTTAAATTCACGCGATATAACCGAACTTCGATTTTCGTTCAAGGACGACTTACCTAAAGGCATTTCTTTATAAGCTTACCAGAACATACTTCTGTAACCAGAGCATTTCTTTATAACGTTTGGTTACTCTGCTTTGGTTACATGTTACCAAAATATATGTAGCTACATCTAACGAGGCATTTATTTATAAGCTTACTAGAACATACAATAATAAAAAATAACAAAGTCAGAACATCCTAAAATTTCTAAAATACAAATTTCGTTTAGAAATCCCCAAACTTAAATTAAATTTGACATATGACATTCAATAATAGGGAAACCATGGTATATGCGTAATGTCACCACAGTAACCACAATACTGTAACCAAGTATGTTGTAGTAAGCTTATAAAGAAATGCCTCAAGTCCGACTCAGCTGAGTTTTGTTTATAAATACGGGCCTTGGGTAAGTCGTCCTTGAACGAAAATCGAAGTTCGGTTATATCGTGTGAATTTAGAGATGGGTAGTAACAAATCCGTAAATGTACATAACAGTTACATATTTGCTAATATCCATCTCTAAATTCCAGTCAAACACCAGAACCACCTAGAACTTTAGAGACGTTGTAACCGAACTTCGATTTTAGTTCAGGGACGACTTACCCAAGTCCGACCAATGAACTGGAGTGGGGTAGAATGCTTGTCAATAGGCTTGAGATGCGACTCTATGGGCGAAGACAGGTTATTTTTCATCTCACTTGGGAGTATTTATAAAGACTATTTTCTATTTCACTTTGTTATTGTCTGATCCACCACCCTGTGGATTGAACAATAACAATGTGAAACAGAAAATGGTTATTATAAATACTCCCGAGTGAGATGAGAAATAAAAATGGCTGCGCCCATAGAGTCGCATCTTGTTCAATTGATACAATATGCACATTATCTTTCTACCCCACTCCAGTTCATTGGTCGCACCTTGTTCTAAATAGTACAACATGTACATTGACATTCTACCCCCCTCCACTTCATTGAGTCCGACTCACGTCTCACGTAAGTTCCTGTTCATAGGTGTTCTGTTTATAAATACGGGTCTCAGCTGAGTTCTGTTACGTGGTGTTACGGATTGGTTGATTGCTTGTTGATTACAATGATAAATGGTCGGATAGCCCCAGTATCTTAGACCAAACACTATTTAAATGAAAAAGAAGTCAAAATGACGAGTTGACAATGTTGACATTCAAACCTCAAACCAATCAAAAATCAAACTTCTGTGGAGCAAACTTACTGCACAGCCAGAGACAATCCAGCGAGACGTGTAACTCAATGTATTTTTTTTGTTCGGTAAAAGTTATTTGGGCGATTGTAACCACAACCAGTCTATGATGGCGCCACTAGTAAATAGCGGGAAAATTAAAAATGCCTTAGGGCGGGAAATTCAAACATGGATTCAGAAGTAAATAGTTTGTCTATACAAATTTACAGGAGAAACAAAAACTATTGTTTCACTGTATATTAAAAAAATATAAAAGCTTCCAATAACATCAAATTTTTTATCACATTAATAATCATTTTAATAAAGGAAGTTTTAATCAGTTTAATATAAACAGTGAACATAGTTTTTATTACTCTTGTAAATTTCGCTAAAAAAAACTTGAAATTTCTATTGATTATTAAATATTTAAACTTGGAAAAATAATACACCAAACTCTTTTTCTATAAATTATATTTTTGTAAGGTACAGAAGAACAAACTACAATTGCTTCGTTTAGAAAGTACCTCGTATCATTTTGTGACAAATTACAAAGAAAGTAACAGTTGTTATATTTTCATAATATATTTAAAAACTAATGTAACAAATATTTTATAAAGTATAGTATCGATACCTTTTTGCCAGACTATCATAAGTGCCATTTGAACAAATGTCACTTATGTTAGTCTGGCAAAAAGGTATGGATATGTTATGACTGTTTATTTTAATAGAAACCATGGAAACGAAACACACATACACTCAACACAAATGTATAAGGCCCGAGTCAAGTAAGTTCCCATCCTGTAAACTGGATCGAAACCTGCTAACTCCTCTTATAGTAATCAAGATCAATAGATTTATATTCCATGCCTTCTAAAAGGGAATGAAGGATGACATACTATCATCATTTAAACAGGACTTTGCTGAAGGCTTACCCCTGTCATTTCATTTGTTTGTGTATCTTGTGTGTATGCATTCCTGTTGTGTCCCCAGTCATGTAAAAGTTTTCCTAGTCTCCTAATTTGGTTACTAGGTGGACCTTCTCCAACTAGTAGTCTAATCTATTCGATCTGTTTGGAAGCAGGAGGTACTTTTCAAACATAGCAAATAATATTATTAATAATAAACACTATTTAAAGATAAATACATTTTTGTAATTGCCCCTTACCTTTCTCTTACACCACCAGGGTATACCTATTTTCCATATTCCCTTAATTATAGATTACCTTACAATGTTCGAATGAATATAACATTTTACTCATGAAAAATCTAATTTCATATTTAACTCTTTTTCAATTTCATTTGAAACAATAATTGGTACCTATATTACAATTTATTATCAAAGAAAATTTCTACTTAAACTACTGGTTGTTCTGCAGGATAAATTCACTTTTCTTGAGATTGATCTCTCTATAAAATCCAAAACCGACCTGATGTCCCCAAATTTATTTTCCAATGCATCCTGATTTAAAATTCTGCCCTTTTGTGATTCAATTTTTTTTCTTCCTTTAGAGTGGCTGTTAGAGGTAGGTGTATGTAAGAAATAGCTAATCTCTAATCATTTCAAAAGTCCTTTGCCAATACTACATGTGCAGATTTTTTACTCGGCATACATTTTACTTTTCTAGTAGATAGGAACTTTGTGCTGCCATTAAAGCTGTCCAGACATTCATCTACCTACTTAATGAACACAAGTATCTGTAACAATGGATCTCTGTTCCAATTCACCTAAAATAATTATAGTCATTGTGTAATATATTATTAAACACACACATTATACAGTGGTTTTCTTAATAAATTGGAAATTACTTACCTCTAGAAAGAAATGTGTACAAAAACGCGAGTTTGGTTCCAGAAATTGCTTAATGCAAAAAATAATATGCAAAAATAAACATCCCCCCCCCCCCCCAAAGAAAATTAATTAAACAACAAAATCAGACTAAAAGAAATATACGGGGCCCAAATTAAATTAATTTTAATAAAATGCACATGTTCATAACAAATTCATAACCACAGTTCATAACATTGTCAGTTGTCAGTTTTAATACTTTTAATCGATATTTCGACGTCAAAAAACCAGCAACACCAGCGCCCTCTGAAAATGGTGTTAGTTTTATTAGAGAGAGAGACATATGTAAAGATCAATGTAAAAGAAAAAGAGGGTCATATATGTAATTTAAATGGACCACCCAACATTTTTTCTTATTAAGGGTCGATTCCACCGTTGTGTTAAACGAAGTTTAAATTACTAAA